TTTACTTAAGTAAATATGAACATTAATCACTGTATGCTACTATTGGCATAGAAGACACCATTTAAAAATGCTAAATTAGTGATGATATCACATAAAGCTTAATGTGGAAAACTATTTTTGATTTTACTACACTTGTGTTCTGTATATAAGTTTTCATTTTCCTTTTTTTTTATTTTCCACCAAACTTTTTAAATCCTGTTGAAGTGAAATATTTTTCATCAAGTTAAATTTCACATTTTATTGCTTCTTTCTTTCAGATCATGATTGAGTTCTGCGCTGGAGGTGCAGTGGATGCCAATATGCTAGGTAAAAAGCCTCTCTTTCCTTTTGGACATACATTTTTAAATAATCATTCGACCCTCCTGCACTTTTGTAGCCATATGAGCGAAGCTGTAAACCAGAGGTCCAGTACTGAAAATGATCAGAGCAAATCTAGATAAATATATTGTTATATGCTGAAATAGTTTTATGCATCGCATCAGTGGCCACGTTGTGCATCTTTCACAATCTGAAACTGAAGACCCTGATAAAGTCAGACTCGTTGGAGTCCKTGGGTGTGGGAAACCTTTTTGGTCTGTTTTCACTGGATAATCCACCCCCTCATTTCTGCCTGTACCCCTCTGCAGCTAACCAAACAAGGGCAAAATAGAGTAAAGTCTGTGGGCTGGGCCTGTTTTAGGTCATTCTAATCTGGGATTACTTATCCAGCAACAYTATCTGCTCTGATATTACAAGTTTACCTTGCAGTGTTTCTTTAATGAAATTCACGTTATAGTTCAGTTCCCTGACTTTGTTTTGCCATAGCAATATGAAGACTGAGTAATGCATCATTTAGTGTGAGAATCATGCCTTTTGAGCCTTCTCAGCTMTGTTCATGCTCTTAATCTTTATTTCACACTGAACCCCTTCATCTCGCCTCCTTTACTCCTATCAGAGCTGGATCGAGGGCTAACAGAGCCACAGATTAAAGTGGTTTGTCGGCAGATGCTGGAGGCTCTGGTTTACCTCCACAACCAAAAGATCATTCACAGAGACCTGAAGGCTGGTAACATCCTCCTCACGCTGGATGGAGACATAAAACTTGGTAAGGGTTTGATTTCATGTGCTTTATTGTTCCATTTTGTGAATTTCTAGTGATTTATACCAGGSGTTCTTAACCTTTTTGACCTCGGGGCCCAATTYGTTGAACATAAAGTGGCACGAGGCCCAGTCACACATTACCAATGTATGGATCAAAATGATAATTATTCTAATCTAAATCTTGGTTTACTTTTTATTGCATTTACATCATAACTAAACTAT